AGACGACATCCGGCGAGTCAGTTTCTTTCCCGCTGCTGTCATATTGGCTGACTCTTCGTCTACAGTCAGTCTTACGGTGAGTTTATTGCACGATTGCGTCTGCACGCTATTAATGTGATGATCAGTGGGCGCTGATCGAGCTATCACGACACCCCGATGTCCAAACCAGGCTCAGAGAAGAATTACTTGCCTTCGGCCCTGATCCAACATATGACCAATTAAAGGCCAACCTTCCGTACCTGGATGCGGTTGTGCATGAAACCCTACGACTTCGTCCTCCAGTGCCAGAATCCGTTCGTGTTGTGAGTGTGTATGTCTACATGTGAATAGACACGACAACTTTAAGTCCACAGGCAGCAGAAGATGACGTTCTTCCCTTGAGCGAACCTGTGCGCACGGCGTCCGGCAACATGACAGACAGTATATCTATAGCAAAAGGGACATTGATCACGATATCAATTCCGGCAATCAATCGTTCTTCGGCCATCTGGGGACCTGACTCAAAGGAATTCAAGCCTGACCGTTGGCTGACCGAAGACGGGATCGGTGGGAAGGCCAAGGAAGTCCAAGGTCATAGGCATCTGCTGACATTTGTCGATGGCCCGAGGGCGTGTCTTGGAAAAGATTTTGCGATCACGGAATTCAAGGTGAATGATGCGAATCAGTAACCTTGGACGTTGTTTACTGTGATACAGACGGTTTTATCGGTTCTGGTGAAGAACTTCGTGTTTGAAATGCGGGATGGACCAAATACTCCAGTCGAAGCTGCGAGGGGGATTTTACCTCGTCCGCGGGTTGTTGGAGAGGATGGTACTGGAGTGCCTTTGAGAATTCGTCAGTATGAATGATTTGTTCGCTGCACCAGATTTTACTACATTTTCCCCCACTTATTCGCGACCAAAACCCTTGGTTTGTATTCAAATCAGAAGAGGTATATACGATTGATATTGTAATATGGACGCTATATAGCTTTGTATGCGCTATCCTTGCTATCCTTTTTGTTTCCAAGCGGAGCATTCCCAGAACATCGACGCCCATGGATTTGAAGTGATAAGTAGTGTACACAAAACTGATAAGTTTATTAGGGCATCGACATTCTGGTCGATTTGCTCGTCTTCTTCCAATGTATGCTTTTGGCATCGGCTGGTCGGGTGTGGTACTAGTCGCGGGATACATAGGCGAGGTTGATTGAGCACGACGTGTAAAGAAACCCCATTAGCTGCTCTTGTGACATGGAGTCATTTTCTGGCAGGCGGTATCGAGAAACCAAGTTCCAGAAGTGACGAGCCAAGGAGATGCTGGATGCTGTGGATGGAAGTGACGGCTGGGAAGACCAACACAAGTACCTTGTATCGATACTATTAAGCATGTACCCTGTACAATATTAATGTAGTGGGACCGGTAACGAGGGCATCATTATGCTTTCTGTATTCCATGCAGTGAGGGCCACATCCATCGTAACCTCTACGAGACCAGCCAGTTTAGCGAACGTTGACACGTGGAATACGGCCTTTGTAAGCTCACCGCATGAAGATATCACAGTCGAGCTCACGTTCAATGTGCCTCCTTCTTAATGCCCTCGTCTGAGAATCTGCGCCTCATTCTCTTTTATCCCCTACGCTCATCCCCATTTGCGCGTCGTCCAACGATTTTTGTCCACCCGCCCACCTCCCTATTTTATACTCCAGCGTGTTTTGGTCTGGATTCGTGTTTCTTTCGGACCCTTGGTCTATGTACGTTTTCAGACCGATGACGCTCCGAAGGTCTGTCTCTTCTCTTCCAGAAGTTCGCGCTTGCGGCTTTCTCCGGATCACGTGCCCGGTCCAGATTCGCGCCTCCCCTGCAGACCTTCCCACACACAAACCGAATCAATACTCAACAAAATCTCTTCTGATTCGTTTCTCAAAGCTCTTACCTTGTTTCTACTAGTTCTCTCATCATCACTTACCCGCAGTAGTCTCTCTACTACGTTCACTCATCTCAGTATTCAATATTACTCTCCCCCGCCATCATTACTAACATTGAATTATCTCATCTTCATCTTGATCGAACGACAATACAAAGGATTACTTATCTCCCGAGAAGGTGTGCTAATAGTCCACACATACATTAGCTAATCGTATATTTCTCCGGATATCCCGACATATCACGTACATTCAAGCTTAATTTAAGCTTCATAGGCTTCCGCTCGACGTTTGCACCATCACGATGGTGTCACATCTACTATTATTCACTCCCCATTCAGGTACTCATGTCCAAGTAATGCTCACAATCTTATTCCGAGGTTTCGGCTTTTATGAATAATTCCTGCTGAAAAAACCACGGCGCCGGAGTTGGGTCCTGTGCCTATACACTTCGTAGCCCACGCCGTTCTCAGCATTCATAGAAATGGCAACCTATAAATGATCTCCCAGTAGATGCCACTTCGAACCAAACATAACGATGAACATGTTTACCATCCCTGTACCCTCTCCATCAAGTCTCTGGACAACCATACATCCGGGTGGCGCATTTCACGTCGCTTGTTCATTTGCTGCATTATGGGCTTTTGTCAAAGTCTTGAGGATGCTTCGCTGGCGAATGAAGACGACTCAATTGCTGGGTCCGCCTCGTACCAGCCTCGTATATGGCGTTTCGCGCGATCTCGCCTCATCTCAAGATAGTGCTGCAATGTATGAACGTTGGACGACAGAATATGGGGTAGTGTATATGATTCCGAGCGTCCTCGGGCAGACTACAGTCGTGCTGTGTGACCCAAGAGCTATTGCACATTTCTACGCTCGCGAGACGTGGACGTATGTGCATACCCCCCTGTCGTCGGCGCTTTTCGAGTCATCAGTATGTTGATACCATCATCTTACCTCGTCTTTTTATATCTCTTGTCAGGTTGGTAAAGGGTTGATATGGTCTCATGGAGAAACCCACAGGAGGTGCTGTTCAGCTCTTGTCCTTCCGCAAGCGACTAATCGACTTCCTGCGAATTAGGCAGCGGAAGGCCCTTACCCCAGCATTCAGTAATGTGGCGATTCGGAAACTCACATCGGTGTTTTATGACTCAGCATACAAGGTGAGGATTTGTGGTGCGAGTAATGTTTCATCTCTGAACTTGATACCATACGTTACAGGCCAAAGGACAATGGGATAATGTTATAGAATCGAGCAAAGATGACGATGCGGTCATCGAGGTCCAGAACTGGTGCGTAGCTCTTCTGACTTGCAAGTGCCATTCCTAATCGAAACGATTCAAAGGATGAATCATATATCGTATGCAAAGATATTTTGTCGTTGACGCCTCGAACTGACGGAACATTAGTTTGGACACGGTTGGCATTGCTGGTTTCTCCCATGATTTTGGCTCTCTCGGTGGAAAGCCCGCCAGCGTGACCGAAGTGTTTGATACATTTGGAAGCAACCAAAAGGCTTCAGCAGTGAATGAAGTTTTTATCCTGCTCGCATCAGTATTTCCTATCATTCTCAAGATGCCCAACAAGCGGCAGAATCTGTTCAAGAAACTTAGCGTTACCATGGGACAAATATCTAACGAATTGTTGATTCGCAGCCGCCGGGAAAAGGATGTCAGCATAGGCGAGAGAGGCCAGGAAAATTCTATCATCGGATTGTTGAGTACGCTGTCTGAGAGATTCATCGTAGTCTCTTGATTGACGCGGCGATCAGTTAAATCCGAAGGTCAAGATACCGAGTTCCATATGTCGGAGGAGGAAGTAATAGCTCAGGTCCGTGAAGACAATGTATCACAGCCATGATTTACGACCTCACATCCCGCAGATGAGGCTCTTGCTTCTCGCGGGTTATGAGACGACATCCAGTGAGTCGGTTTCTTGCCCGCTGCTGTCATACTGGCTGATTCTTCATCTACAGTCAGTCTTACGGTGAGTTTACTGCACGATTGCGTCTGCACGCTATTAATGAGATGATCAGTGGGCGCTGATCGAGCTATCACGACACCCCGATGTCCAAACCAGGCTCAGAGAGGAACTGCTTGCCTTTGGCCCTGATCCGACATATGACCAGTTAAAGGCCAACCTTCCATACTTGGATGCGATTGTCCATGAAATTCTACGACTCCATCCTTCAGTGCCGGAAATTACTCGTCTTGTGAGTGTGCGTGTCTACATGTGAATAGACACGACAACTTTAAGTCCACAGGCAGCAGCGGATGACGTCATTCCCTTGAGCGAACCTGTGCGCATGGCGTCCGGCAACATGACGGATAGTATATCTATAGCGAAAGGGACATTGATCACGGTATCGATCGCGGCAATCAATCGCTCTTCGACCATCTGGGGACCTGACGCAAAGGAATTCAAGCCTGACCGTTGGCTGACTGAAGACGGGATCGGTGGGAAGGCCAAGGAAGTCCAAGGTCATAGGCATCTCCTGACATTTATCGATGGCCCGAGGACGTGTCTTGGAAAAGATTTTGCAATCATGGAGTTCAAGGTGAGTGATGCGGACCAACCAGTTTGGGCGTTATTCACTGTGATACAGACGGTTTTATCGGTTCTGGTGAAGAACTTCGTTTTTGAGATGCGGGATGGACCAGATACCCCAGTCGAAGTTGCGAGGGGAGTTTTACCCCGTCCACGGGTTGTTGGAGAGGATGGTACTGGAGTCCCTTTGAGAATCCGTCGGTATGAATGATTGGTTGCGCTGCACCTTTGAAGGCTGGTTGACATAAAATGTCAATTTGATCACTTTGCTTGAAATCATTAGGAATTTTGTCCGCTCATAGTACCCGTACCCGTACCCGTACCTTCCCTCGAGCTGATTCGCGATATGATAATCAACGACACTCAAAGGAGAATGAATAGATTTGCTGATCGGGCTATATATAGCCACATATGTACCAATTGACTAGACATGAGCACAAAGTTGAAAAAGTTGACCGGACCTAGTTTTCGCACGCAGATGCATTTCTATAGATGATACCTAACTCAAACCTAACTTACCACGACTACTGAGAGTCTTTTCAAAACCATGGTACTGTGTTCACTTCACGTCCTCGCACTCAACGATATCCATGAAAACGTTGTCAAGAAGCTTGTAATGAAACTCCCTGTAGTAAAGAAGCCGGACGAGTCGCTCGAATGCCCAGGCCCCCCATTCATTGTTCCGAGTCACACCCATCCACTATTAGTGACGACGAGACGATACGCCTCTTTCTGACGCTGAATAACTGTTCAGTGACGAAGAGGACCAACTACAAGCTGAAGATGGTATCCTTGAAGAAGATGAAGACCATCAGGTATAGAATGGGTTCGGCGTGGATTCGGCTGCTACTGGAATATGAATCTGGTGGTATATTGACTAACATCTTACCTGGTTTTTGCTAGAATGGATGTCTTGATAGATGCCGAACTTACGTTCGTTTATGGCCGCCTCACACAGTGCCGCACAGGGCGTAGATTCATGATTCATCGGAGAGCTCAAAGTACCATGCTTCATTCGTGCAAACCGGCTGCTCATGTGGAACGCCACGTCAAACGCGAGAGCATTTATTACGTGGCTGTCCGCTATTCATATGCCAACGCATCCACTTGCGCGCAGTATCCCACATCAACATACTCAACAAGATCCTGGGTATGGAGGAGGGGATAGAGGCGTAAACAAGATTCATTCATGAGCCTGACGCTTTCAAGAAGGTTGCCGTGCTAAGACATCCGTCATGTTGACAACCCTTGGAGCTATGTGGAGATGGCTCCGAAATGTTGAGTGCTTATGGACCCAGTCGACGGCTGGTTGGAAGCTCGAATGTTCAGTAGACAGTAGTTCGACCCCAAGTTGGTGATGGACCTTGGCTGGCAATCTGCTGGCACTACAGATCGGTGTCGTCTGTTTGAAGGCACAACCACGCAAGAAGAATTTCAAATAACAACATTCAGCTCATAAAAGCCAGCCGTCTTCTTCAGAATTACCTGATTTCTTATCACAAGAGTCACAAATAATGCGTTTCTCCTCTGCATTTGTCCTCGCCGTCGTTGCTGCTTTAGCCTCATCATCCGTCTCTGCCATACCCCCTCAGGTTGACGAGGCTGGCACCACTCAATGTAAAAAATTTTGCTACACTGATGAAGATTGCCAAGAAACTGGCTGCACTCATCGGACTTGCGTGAGTATCAGTAGTTTTCGTGGCTCCGATAGCCTGACTCACTTGCATGGCAGATCCTCAATTGGTTCTGCGTAGTGAGTCGTGTTTCTGTCATCGCATCCATGCAGTATGGCCATTGGCACTGACGCGCGAGTGATTAGTGATTTGCAGATTTGATCAATGGACCACGATCGCATTCAGATCCTCCCTGGTCGCTACGAAATTTAACTTAAGACTGACGTTATTCTGTAACATGTCCTAAAACTTTCCTGGGTCATCACTACAGTAGGACCAGGGCCGTTTGCTCCCATATCTTGGGTGATAAACCTCTTGACGATGTCTTCGGAGCCACGCACGTCCATCCAGTGAATAGTGCTCGACTGATTTATCGAACACTTTTTCAAACATGTTACTTTGTTGTGCTTGATCTGGAGTTCAGTTTCCGAACGGGCCAGGTGAAATTGACGCGGCACTGCCGCGCCTGCCGCGGTCGTGACGCGCCTGTGACGCGGCACTGTAACAAATTCCTATGTACAAATCATGTTCACATAACCTTCATATGTCATTCCAAACACTTTGAATCCTCGTTAATGATCAACATATGAGTGTCTGCCTGCGTACAGGCTCTATAGTGCTGTATTCACCTCTCACCAAATTTACAGTGCTTGTCCTCTGACCACACTACTACTAGTATGCATCTTGTACGTCAGTCCTGTATTGTTGCATTACCTCTAATTCGTTCATCTATGTTGGTTTTCAGACGCAGTGTCAAGTGTTATCTCACTGTGTCAAGCCTCGACCTCACCTTGTCAAGTTCAATCCACTCTCTATACTCTGCACCACCACGTCAAGCCCCAACCATGGCATGTCAGAAGCCTCGTTTAGGCTGGGTCAAGCACCACTCACACCACGACAAGTTCTCCCAAATATCTTCGCAGTCTCTGTACTAATATCAACATCCACACTCTATGCCGTGTCAAGGTCTACTATCAATGCCGCGTCAACCATAGCACATACCGCGTCAGTGCCGCGTCACATGCGCGTCACGCCGTGTCAAACCTCGTCACCTGTGCGTCACACTGCGTCAAACTTCATTCATGCCGCGTCAAACTTCATTCATGCCGCGTCGGACCTCACCACCTCCACATGCCACGTCAAACTTCACCACCTCAACTGTCACACTGTCCGTATAACTTAGGTATATTTTATTTTAGATCCGTCATAATAATTGATATTCTAACAGTGTTCCTTTTCATCCTGACAGAATTAGACGTCGTACACTGTAATTGTCCATAGGCAGTAATAAATTTATTTTACTAAGTGTTCTTTCGTTTTGTCTCCTCTGGCCTAGAGAAGAAACCCTTATTATCGCGCAGATGGCTTGGTCTGATCTCATGATAAGCTATCCTACCAACAGCTTCGTGGCTGACGTCGACCTCGAGTGTCTGACCGCACTAGAAGCAAGGATGTTCGAGGATTCCGAAGCAGGACCTGCAGGCAACCAGCAGTGGGGTTTGGATGCTGGCCAACATCACAGGCGATGGAATATGTATCTCGGTCCCTCGGAATTCCTGATGAATGGGTTTCTGGAAAAGATTATAGCGAGAGTGAACTTGAAGTGAGAAAGACATTACCAGGTTGCTCTGTTCAATACATATCTAACTTATGTGATTGACAGCGCGGCCCCTTATTCAGTGATAACACTGATGCTACATCTTTGGAGTCTGCAGACGAGCTATCTGAAGCTGTAGTTCCTTCTCTGCCGGCCGAAGAATGTCCACCCGTTAAATGTCGATGTGCTCCACAGGCTCGAAGGGTCCAGAGAGGGAGGAAAAGAAGATAGTCATTGGCTTATGTATACCTAGTTGTACATGGCTCTATGGCAAATAAAATAACAAAGGAATGGTCGTGAACTCATCCAACTTGATCTGGAAGTCGAATGTAGAATATAGGAATGGTGCGTCAGTGGCCGCGTCAAGGCTCGTTAGTGCCGTGTCAAGGCTCGTCAGTGCCGTGTCAGTGCTGCGTCACATGCGCGTCACGCCATGTCACGGCCGTGTCACGACCGCAGCAGGCACGGCAGGACCACGTCAAAATAGCTACGCCCTTTCCGAACCAGTTTTGGGGGTGGCCCCACCAGGTCCCAGGATTGATTGATTGATCCACAATGGTTGTATCAGTCACGTCAGAGTCAATGTCGAAGTTCAAACGTTCACCCATGGCTATGGCATCAGTGAATTGAGGAGTCCTTCGAGCGATATTGTACCTGTGGGATTTATAGAAGGATATGATTTTGCTCGTGCTAGGTATAGTATGAAAATTTTGTAATGTTGCTATATAGCTACTAGTGTTCTGATTACCTTCGGACGTAGTCCATTGTCAATTACAGTAATAGATGCTTGTATACTACGTTCGCAGTCATCTTTTCTTCTTCACTCTCTGTTGCAAACAGCGCCCAAATGTCACGACGACATCACACTCTCGACAGTCACTGCGGAAACGAGAAAATAGTCAGGCCGGATTAGTGTAGGGACAGACCATATACGTGGAATATAAACAGACATCGCATACAACGCAAATCCCGAAGTGCCAGACTAGCGAGAGGTACACAGTGCTGGCTCTAATCCAACACTGGACACATAACTTTTGCAGAGATAGATTAGTTATCTGTGTATCTAATCCGACAATAGGATCATATCGGAAAACATGACTTGCACATCTGAATTATGTCTGCATACATATATGAAATAGTTCCGATTAGACTCTGCAAAGAATATAATACAAGAGGTCCATATGCTCCATATGCTTCCTAGGATTCGCCATGCGCTTGCCCATGGCTTCTCGCTCGCTCTTCCCTTCGTTCTCCACACCCCACATCCACGATGCATGGATCCCAAGGCCTACAGAGACACCCTAGTGGTGCCCCCATGTATCCTAACCAACACAGCATTAGTACTAGTCAAGACCGCCAGTCTCAAATGAGTGGTCCACACCAATTTGGCCAGCCTCATCCTGGGCCGTCCCCACTCAACTTGCTCAACAACGACTTGCCGCAGCACGACGAGTACTTCAGTGGACCGCGGCTGCTCAATCCTGCAATGGTAAACTTATCAGAATCAATTCAATGTGAATGCAGAAAACTCACATATTATTAGCCAGGGGAAGACGGTGTAAATGAGAACATGGGAAGACCGTTGGGCAACAACAACCTACCAGAAACCCCATTCATCCCCAGGCACAATGAGCAGCGTACACCTTCCCTGTCTATGCACAGTGTCAATAATTATATGAACCCCCAGCCGGCCGGTACACCATACCTTGGTCATGGAAACTTGCACACTCCTTTCTCATCAGGCAGTGAGCTGCATTCTCACTCGCAGTCCTTGGCACCAGGTGGAGGCCACGACCCTGACTATAATCAGTTTGCACAACCTCATCAATCACACGGCGTGGGAACATACCCATACCAACACGGCGGCTTGCTTTTCCAGGACCAAACTGGAGACATGCAGTACTCGGGTCCACAGGGTAGAACTGCCAGTGCCAGTGAATTGCTGCATCTGTCTGAAAGCATACAACAGTTTTGTAGTAATATTACGACCTCAAACAATGCACTTACAGCACAAGTGCAATCACTTCAAGGCGAGATGCAGGGTCTTAAGGGAGAGATAGCGCAGTTGAAGGAGGAGTATGAATTGGGCAAGGCCACTGGAAAAAAGAAAGTGATTACAAGGAACATTTCGAATGACCATCCCAAGTTGAAAGTTAGTTTTGCATGCATTCCTTCAGATCGGATGTAACAACTGACCATTATTCTCGCAGATGATCATTCATCCGATGTTTCCAGACCTGTGCAACATCTCTCGGTCCTTGGGTAAATCAGCATGAGCCAGGCTGTTGAATGCTGTGAAGCCGTTGGAATCTGGCGAGGCTTACAAAGAAGTCAACATGAAAAAGATTTGGTACCCAAATTGGAAGGGTAACGTAGATGATGGGGTTAATGCAGCGTTCATTCAAGAAGTTGTCGATCTAGTCTGGGATAACGAAAAGGTGAGAGTGAACAATTGAAGAACATAACTTATGGACTTACTGGTCAACATAGCGATTGCGTGAAGATCCCAACTCGAAATCTGAGATACAAGATGCTGACTATGACCGCCAATTGATTACTGATTGTACGAAGGCGTATTTCCGCAACATCTACAAGCAGTTTCTTGAACACCATGATAATGATAAGGCTAGAAAAGCTATGGAGCATAAGAATCAAGGACGGCGGCGTTCACGTCGTCAAACAGTCAGTCCTCCAGAAATATCAAACTCGATACAATATCTGACTGACCCCAGGTTACAAAAACTCATCGAAAAGCAGTGGAGGCCTTTGAGAAGGAATCTGGTCATCATGGTGTCCTGGCAATGATTGACACGGATTTCGCATCAGATGTGTTGTCCTATGGCTCAGACACCGACCTTTCAGAAGACATGCTCAAGAGATGAAGGGATGCTGATGTGGGAAAGGGCGCTTTTATGGTAGAGGGTGCACAATGGAGAAGCCCTGACGTGAGCTTTGAAGTTAACATCAGAATAATTTACTGACCTTTCAACACAAAAGTTAGTGGCCCTCAGGCGTTGGTTGTCATTCAAGAAGTGGAAGAAAGGTCCTGATGACCACATGAATGAAGAGGCACCAGCACCCAAATGCCGCAAAGTTGTCGAAAAGAAAGCCATCAAATCTACTTTTGATCTTGCACCAAGTAAGATGCACAGCGAACCACCAATCTTGGGCAAAAAGACCATTCCCTTCCGATCTATGGTTTCTGAGAAGTGGCTGAAGAAAAATCCAGGTACTGTATTGCTAGACGGTGGAGAATGGCTGTGTGGATTCTATGGTCGGTTGAAGGAAGGTGATATCCACAAGGATGATGCAAAGTTTCTGGAGGAGCTTAACGAGTGGCATGAGAAGGATGAGTCGAGCAGTGATGAAGAGGATCTCCCTGTCACTGGCTCATCCACCGGCAATTAGTCTTAGCAGCAAAGAGCAAACTTAGAGTTTGACGAACCGTTTTCTTGATGAATGCAAATTTTTTTTTGCTATTACTGTATTTTGTTAGCAGCAAGTCAACTTCTGCAGATGTGTATCAAGTACCTTTGAAATGTCAATTGTCGCCCACACCTTTGTCTTGCTCTCACCGATGGACACAGTCATCATAGCAAGCTGACCTGTCACCCAGTCTGGGTCAATAAGATGCGGTAGCTGAGTGTCACGGTCCAAATATTCCCCCAACTCCCAAAGGCATACATCCACGACTGAACTGTTGAACAGTCAGTGAATAGGGTAGGTTTCAAGTCAAACTTGTAACATACAACTTGTCCCATGGAGATGGCTCTGCACGCCAACCTTTGAGCCAGCGCATTCGTGCAAACCACATCGGATTTCCTTCTCCATGAAAATTCTGGTCAAACTGGAAATTTTCCAAGATCTCGCCATAAGCATGACAAGGTGGCCCATTGGTTGGAATGATGACATGAACAAATGACGAACAATTGGATCCTGTTGTCCGAGAAGCATAATAGTGCTTGCCACGAAGGACAACATAGTCAAAAAAGATGGCTTGCCAGTTGAGAGGAAGACTATGAGATAGAAGTGGACGATCCATGCGGCAGTGAACTGGTGTGAGAGGGAATCGAAGACAAAGAGTCTCAGCAAGAAGTCGGTAAGTATCAGTAGACAGGTCTTTCAGGTGGTGGCGAGGGCTGAGCATGTACACTTGATCCGCTAATGCACATACATGTCAAAAGATAAAATGAAGAAATATTTAAACTAACCATCGGCAACAACATCATCGAGGTCTTTTGATAGTGCTGCTAACCCAGCTACTGTGCCTCGTTCTTCATTGGATGCTTTAATCATGATGTTGGCGACTGTGCTTAGAAGTGTGTCCTTTGGATGTTGGACAAGAGTGTAAGTCTGCAGTAAGTGTAAGCGAGTGAACAGTGCAGCACTACACAGCATACCATATGGTTAGTTTGACATGTATGCTGGAACTCACGGAAAAATGTTGTCTCGAGTTCTCCATTTCCATGGTTATTTGTTTTGTAGGATTTGAGTACTTTGTTGAGGCATTCAAACAGGAATGTCCAAAAGTTGTGCAAAGGGCCAAAATTATGTGCACATTCACTGACATGAGTTGTGTAGTGATGATTAGGTTTGATGGAACTTGATCTGTACAGCTGGCAAATCACAATGCATCAGAAACCCTCCAAACGTTGACCTGCACCAAACTGGTTTGGTGCATGGACCAGCAATACTTTCCTATGAGTTTTATACCTCAGAAATCACTATGAACATTTTTTTCTCTTGATCTGAAGTCAAACTGAGGCTCAGGGAATATTTTTCGCATTTTTTTTCATTTTACGAGTTTGTACACGAGTTTACTGAATATTTTTGTACATTTAATTCTGCGATGAGTTTTGCTTAGTCAGCCATGAAGATGACTCAGAAGGATTCTCACACATATCAGGTGACTGTGAAAAATACGTCCACATAAGGTTACCCTGTGGGAAAGCTTACAAACCGTGAAACACGCTGTGTGTGAGGAATGATAGCTAGATGAGAAGGGGTGAAAGGGGGAGAAAGGGTGAAGTGGGGTAAAACTCAAATAGACCTCTGGACGCGAGTATAGATTCGGCCCAAGGGGATTGCTCCTGAGAACGATTCCTCTAAGTAAAAATATGGAGGGGAAACTTTGAACTGGTAAGAGTAACTGAAAATGGAAGAGCGTGCGACGTTGCGCTTGAAGCGATGCGAGCGCGAGCGAGCTGCCGAAGGTGCGATATGATGTGCGACCGATCGGCCGAAAGTTTGATGGAGCGTGGAGATGTGGAGAAAAGCTGACGGTTTATATGAACGCGCAACTAGCGGATATGCGAAGGAGATGCGATGTGACGATAGTGAGGGAAGGGAGCTCTGACTGGAGATGCAACGAGCGATGTGTGGACGATAGCACGACCGTTAATACTGCGTGCGACGTAGTCGGCCGAAGGATTCTGACTTCGAGTCTGAGTGATGCGTGCAAACGGATGATAATTTCAATAGCGGGAAAAGAAGATACATGAAAATTCCTAAGTCTAAAGTATATATTGTAGCGCGCGTAGCGCTGTTCGGAACCAAGAAGATAACGGTAATACGTATTAAGGGTCTATAACGCAAGTAACGAAACATACGCGATATCACTTCCAAAAATATAATCAGTCTAACGCGAATGAGATAAAATACGCACCAATGGACAAGCGGAGGACATGGATAGGACGGAGTAGGATGCACGACAGAACCGACGAAAAGCGGATGCAAACCGAAGTGCACGCATGCGCCGTGGCCGTTGGCCGATGATAGGAAGGATGCGTGCCGTGGTAGTGATAGCGCGTGCTGCGCTAGGACCTGAGGGACACTGCAAAAATAGCCTCTACGAGGCTACAAGGACTACAAGTCCTACAATGCACCCTATGTCATTATGCTACCAAATAATTTATCAGCCACAGATGTCAAACATCTATCCACACATTATGTAATCATTTCTCACTCTTTTCTAGCTGAGTCATCAAGGGATCACCTGACCCATGGGCCATGCACAGCTCTTGCTGACTCATCATTATACCAACTAGAGTTATGAATATTTACTTTTGGCTCAAAGATACTGTGTAACTTGGTACTATCAAACTAAAGTTACAACTTTGAGTGTGAGAAACTAGTAGTATAGCCACCTAATTTGTCTATATAAGGAGCTGCTTTTTGCCCAATAAAAAAAAAATTCCCTGCTTTTATACTCTCAGAATAAAATTGTGAGTGAAGTGTGAATCAGCATCCAGCAAGTGTAGCAAAAGGTTTGAGCTCACTGTGCTCAACAACCAGCACCACATATCTGAACTCACTGTGCTGAACATCTAGCACATACCTTGAGCTCACTGTGTCTGACAACTAGCAAGACTAGTTTTTCTTCTTCTGTTTTTCTTCTGATCGTCTGCCCGAATTTCTTTGTTTCTTTTTGTGTCTTTGTCTGTGTCTCAATCTCTCTGTGATTTTCTCTGTGGTTGTGTGTCTGAGTGTTTGTTTGTTTCTCTCTCTCTGTTTCTCTGAGATTGTGTCTGAGATTCGTGACTGAAACTCATGTTTCTGTTTCTTCGTCTCTTTCTCTCTCTCTGTCTCAAGTGTGTGTGTGTGTGTGTGTGTGTGTGTGTGTGGTGTGTTGGTGACTAACTGTACTGACCATCTCTGTGATCGCTGTCTCTGTGTGTTGTGATTGTTGTTACTAACAGTCTACGTGAGCATGATTGTGTTAGTGTTTCTGTTGTAGCGGTCTTGTGTTGTTGATTGTCTTGACCTATCAACTTTCTCTCAAGTACCAAAGTTTCAGTCTCATTCTTACCCAGAAGTTTGGTGTTGTCTCTTTTGTCCACTGAAGACTTAGGATAGTCTTGTGGGGAGACTTTAGGTGTTGACGGTGATACCTGACCTCATACATCTGTGTGTCATACCGGTCAAGGGTAGTCATTGCAAGTTAGACTTTAGCTATTGAAAGGGGATTTGGTATTGAAGTCCAAGATTGCCCGTTCCTGAGTCTGTTTGAATACTCATTGTGAGTTCCTTGACAGCAGGATCAATATTAGGCTAAGAGTGCTACAGAGGCTTGACTAGGTCTGATGGTAGTTTCACCTGTTTTTGTAACTGAGGGGGACTCTCATTGTAACACCACACAACTTGCTGCACTAAGTTTGTGTACGAATCCTTGTTGCTGTGTGAAGTGTTAGGAAGAGTGTCTGTTTGTTGGTTGTCATCTCTATATTGTTAGGGTGACTGTATCTCCTGTTAATCTTGTTGCTGTTTTTTTGTTTTGTTTTTGTTGTTGATCGCTGACTGACTGGTTCTTTGTTTTTCTGATCGTTGTGTTTCATATCCATACTGTTGGATTGATTGTTGACTACTGACTCTTGTGCAGAACTCATTGTGCTGACTGTACTTTAGGAGCATAAAGAAAGCCACCCATGAACGACCATGTTATCAGTCATTGGTATTTGTCTGAATCGCTGACCATGGAGATATTTGGTTTTATAGGTGTTTATCTATAGATCATCTATCTAAGAAGACAACGTGTGATTTTTACTCACACGGATGAGCCCAGAAGTATATTCATGAAGGAGCCTATCCACTTTGTTGATATCTTGGTCAGATATTTGATGTCGGACAATGATACGAAGCGCAGCACTGAGCTTCAAGAAATTTTCTGGGTCATCTGGATGTAGGCAGAACTTCATGTCAGTACTGTCATCAGCATTGCCAAAGCCTTCATTAGCTAGAGCAGTAGGAGAAGGCGGAGGAGGAGCAGGGCGAATTTCTCCTTCGGTGAGATCATCAACTGTCTGTGTCATAGCTTTGCGCTTGTGGGTTGCCTCGAATACAATCAACTTTATGACTTCAAAATGCAGCAAATAATAAACATGCCTTCTGCGCAGCTGCTCGCGCCTTTTTCTCCACAGCGATCTTAGCTTTCTCTGCCTGCTTAGCAGCAGCAACACGAAGCTTCTCTTGATTCTTGACCTCCGCTTCCTGCAGCTTCAGACTGGCAATACATGCCTTCTCTGCCTCGTAAGCATCCTTCCCACGTTTCTTCGCATCAGATAGAGCCTTTCTGTTGTCAGCATTACGGGTAGCTTCAACTGTCTTCTCTGCTTCGAGCTTCTCGATGGCAGCCACACATTGATGGAGTATCTGATCACTGGCATCTGAAGGTGTGCATGCGGTCCATAATTGAGGTATCTAGAAGACAACAGTTTAGTAGACTTAACTTCAATGCAGACGTCACTCACGATGATGGGTCCATACACGGTCGAAAGTAGTAACCACTGATCAGCTGTTAGGGATCCCCCAGATGGCATGCCAATATCTGTTGGTAGTCTGCCACATGCTCCTGGTACAATAAACTGCGAATTTGTTGGATAATGAATGCTTTAAAAGACTAGAACATACATCTGCAAGCATCTCATGGAACATGTTGAGCTCATGATTTGGGCGTAAAATTTTGCTTTGTACCCATATGTTATAGAAATGTGTCTTGACAAGGCCTGATTGTAACATTAGTTTGTGTCATAGCTAGCAATAGCCCGTGTCATTTACCTAGAAAGAGATTATGCATTGGATCAATGATGATCTGCTCGACTAAGTTGAAGTATGGTAGTCGGGAGAGTTGTGTATATCGTGTAGCGAAGTCCTTGACAAAACTCTTGCGCGCGCTGGCTGTTGGAAGATTTCGGTAATGGTCACCTAGCTCACGCTGTTCCTCATTTGTCCGCATGCAAAATGCTACAGAAAATCCAAACCTGAACAATAGAGACAAATGTGTTACATTCAAAAACATACCTCCTTCTTGACAGGCAGCTAGCGTGGTTTTGTCGCTCAGAGTGATCCAACAGAGGGTGCAGAAATTAGTGTGTGAATGGGAAGCAAACCCACCCACTTTATGAGCAGCAGGTTTGTCGCATACAACAGCAACTAGAATTACGCGGACAAGTCTCCCTGACATTCAGATGAGGGTCAGAAACAAGATGTAGTAATAGCGATGCACATACCGTGAGGACATGATTCCATCGGAATCCTGATACCAAACTTCCACAAGCGTAATAGATCAGATATGATAGGACGAAGAAACCGTTGAATTTGATCTGGGTTTTGCTCCTTTGGTCCAGGAAATATACCTGTACACATAAGATTTGATGTACAATATCTATAGATTATCAGTAGATCACACTTATTTGAATCAATGTTGGATGGTCCTTACCGATACTCTGGGGGAAGATTACAAACTGAAAACGACACTGGAGCTGAAGAATGAGATGGTGCAATATTACTGCGGATGTATGAAAACCTACAAGCACAATTTGTTAGCAACTAGAGATACCTGCATGCTCTATATACATACCAGTCCAACCCAAGATTGATGCCAATATGGAGCTCATTGTCTGGACCATTCCTTTTGTGAGGAAGGTTCGAGAAGAACAGTTTACCATTCGGATCCTTGAGTTTGGTGTGGCACATTGCACCATCAAAAATATCAGTGTATTGTCCTGCAATGCGAGGTTTCATGCGCCACACATCCAGTAGTGCTTCTAGGCCAGGTATCTTCAAGAGAGATTTCAGCTGTTCGGAGAGTGGGAGATAAGGATATTTTATCACTGGGGACTTGACTGCTCGTTGGTTACCCCACAGAGTGTGTCCTGGCAGGAAAAGGTCATCAAGGCAGATCAGACAAGTATCCACAGTATGTGGTGAACCTGCAGGAGGGAAGACTTCGCAGCAAGAAGGGCAGACAGGAAGAGTGTAGATGGTCTTGTCCACACCAAGTACCCGATTGCTGGATTGAAACATTATGAAAGGAGTTTCAATGGCGGGTGCAATTGAGAGTAAAACATCAGTGAATTCATGAGTCCTTGATTTTGTAGCCGTGGGAAGTATAAGATGATATCATTATGCTACAGCTGAATATACCTATGTATATGGCAATAAATATTAGTTATCGGTACATAGCCATGAATCTCTGAAAATTCATTTTACCATGAGGAGTTCGCGACAAGATTACAACATTGCGCCGTTGCAGCAATCAATATGCAATAGCATAGTTAAGTTATATTTGTTGACTCATACCATATCCCTTCGTTTATGTTTCAAACTACCAAGTGATATAAGACTTTATCGTGGAAAGAACCGTTAGCACTTGTAACCTAATTTATATTCTTATGAGAGTTTCAACCAGCGAGGTATGATAGTGTAATTAGGTACCGTTTGTTGAGCAACATCATATTACCTCATTTATGTTTGACTTACAAAACTATATAGATTGGTTCAAATATTGCGTGAATTACAATGTCATCCAAGATCATGCACGTGACTATTGTTACAGTAACATGGCATGAGTCCCCTGGCAGCAAGACAGCCCTCTGCCACCGCACGGCTATAGACGATACCGGAGTCTCACCAGCTCTATGACGATAGATGACGACAGATAACGATAGATGATAATAGACGATAAGCGGCAACTGCCGGCTTAGATAAGCGGTCTGGACCGCACGTGACGACACATGACGACATAGGTCTAGAAGACCTATTTATGTTATCAAGATAGAAGGCAAGCCTCGTGCTGCCTCATGTACTGATAGAAGGGTACCGCATGGACCCTATCTACGATAGAAGCCCGCCTCATGGACGCTATCTCTGACTCATGTAGATAAGCAGATTAGAACCCAGCTTTAGGCTGAGCTTAGATACGAAGAGTAGCCTTATATAAGGTCAAAGATTAAAGTAGACGTTCCTTACTTTAATCTTACTAGGTTTACCCTTGAACTCCTTGTCCCGCTAAAGCTACCTGCTCGACATCGACTCGTACCTTCAGTGACGCCTCTCACTGTCTGTAAACCCTGCTATCATCTCAGCGTAACCCCTCGTTAACCACCACGAGCTACGTTCGAGTACGCAACCTTTGCTTGTTTGTAAAGGCCGACGACTCTCAGCACTCGGTACCACTGTCGTGGTTGTCGCTGTTAGATTATCCTAGTTGCACACGACCGTGTGTCGTAACAACTATCACCTTAGCCTCAAATTTTACCTTAGAATTTTCGGACAACCTCAAATCATGTGACCAGCGCAAGTGGTTGAAATTGATTTGTCATTGTTTGTGCAGGACGGAAATTTTCACGCAAGTTCCTTTCAATCCTTCTTTCACCACTACTACCACCACCTCTCAACTCAGCATCTTCGTTCCTCCCATTCGTGGTGGTCCCTCCCTGGCCTTTTCCTTGTGGTACTTCCTTGGCCGTTCGTGGTGGTTCCTCCCTGGCCTTTCCTTATGGTTCCTTCCTGGCCGTTCATGGTGGCCCTTCCTTTCCTCGTGGTTCCTTCCTGGCCATTCATGGTGGTCCGTCCTTTCCTCATGGTTCCTTCCTCTGGCCGTTCATGGTGGTCTGTCATGAGTTCCAAATACAAACCACTATACTTTTCTAAATTCGAAGTCCTTTAAGCGCACAAGTATAGCGCCTGTACCTAAAGATAAACCTAAGAATGTATTTATAGTCAAAGAAGTGCCTATGGCGTCTATTGTAGAATTACCAAATATCCCTGTACCTGAATCATGTGAATTATCAGACGATGACATCATGCCACGCGACACTCTTGGAATGTTCCAGAGTCTTACTGCAGCTGCGGCACATGTTATGACATCATAGTATATATATATAGAATCGTACAATACCTTTAATTATTCTCATTGGTTAGTTAGTTCATACTCAGTTTCGATCTCCGTTTCAATATATGTATATAGGTAGTGTCTTGTAGTCAGTAGTTCTTTAGTTCAAACCTCTTGTATCTCCAAGTGAGCAATCCAAGATGTACCTGCTGCCTATCCTCTGTTGTGATCTTTCTGAGTTTGAGTCCTAGTCTCTGCCCTGCGTTAATTCGTTTAAGGGGTTGTGACATGGTCCTTCCCTTTCCTTTCCTCGTGGCTCCTTCCTGGCCTTTTTTCGTGGTTCCTTGTTGGCCTTTTCTCGTGGTTCCTTGCTGGCCTCGGTCCCTCCTTTCATTCATCTCTCTGCTATCTTTCTCTGTTTTCTTTTTGTCCTGTAACTACATATGTAGTATTTAAATATAAATAAAATTAATTTGCTTCACAAAATGAATGCTGAGGATGAGAATAATTTGGTGCTGGTGACAAAATGGCAGGTTGTTGCAGGCAATCTGTCATGCTGGCACTTTCGGTAGTTCTGTCTAACTTACTCCAGGTAGTATCATTCTGACAGATATCATGTAAATTTTGCAATTAGATAAAGCATTGTAAAGCTTTATATTTTCATGTCAATTATTTGATGCTTCGGAGTTGTGAACCTCCCTTTCGTTATGGCATTTCATAAAATTTTATACGATAATCAGGGACGCATCTTTCCTCTATAAGGCCAAACATAACAATGTGATTGTCGATAGTAAAATTATGCTAGTTCTTGTGATTATGTACTATATATTGTTATATATTGCTATCTACTTTCCTCATGGGTTCACTGATGATACAAGTCAATATCACAAGGAGTGCATTGCATGCAACCCGTGGAAGATGAAACTGGAGGTGAAGCCATGAGACAAGTGCATATATTACTAGCAGATGGTGAGGAAGGTGCGAAAGATCCATGTGGTCTTCTGAGAAGTAGTCGTTGTCAGGAAGGAAGGGATCAGGGTTGTCCTCCCCTGGTTCTGTCTGTATAGGCGCATGGTCTTCTTCTTCATCGGGTCCATCAAAGCATCCATTTCCATCGAAATCCTGTATCCTCTCTTCATCATCAAGAGTAGCTTGTTCTCTCTGCATTTCCTTGACAGTCTTCGCAAGGTGTCATTTGAAAGCACGTTGCCCGGGGTCAATAGGAAGCCTGTGCGCATCATGAGCTGTCAAGGGTCGAGCACCAGCCATCGTTACAGCGCTGTATGCATCAAAATGGTCTATGGCAGCAAGGAGAGCATCCGGGCTGCAGACATTGGGACCAAGGTTGGGTAAGGGGCTGCCTGGTGTTGTAATACCTAAATCTTCATCTGTAAGTGCCGAGTCCAAGATGGCATCATCCAAAGGATCATTAAACTCTGGAGACAAGGGAGGAGGAGGTTCATGTAACAGAACCAAAAATCCTTGAGGAACTGGTCGAACGTCTGCATGAGCCTGTGGGATGTGTTGCCCGACGCGTCGAGTAAAGTGAGCCTGATCAGCAAGAGTTCTTTGGCGTAAATCAGAGTGTTCATGTGAGCGAAAAACATAAGGTGCGACAAGAACACCGTTGCAATTCGAAACTTTGCAGTAGCATCGTACAAGAGGTGCCATGTTGGTTGACAAGCTAGAGGGTCGGAAAGTACTCATACATATGTTTGGTCAGACGCGTTGGTCTTGACATGTCACATGACTTGGACTTGGAAATGCTGCAAAGTGGAAAAATTGGTCATGGCAAGGGGGGGGCTCACCACAGGCGAGCCGAAAAGATTCCAAGGGTTCGCAGGGGGTCCGACTTCCGAAGCCGGAAAACGATCCCAGGGAGTCTGGCGTCTGGCGTCCTGCATCCTATGAGAATGATCGTCCTCAGTTAACTCAGGGAGTCAGTTTCAACATTTCGATGGAGAGCAGCCATTGGCCCGGTCCTATTATTCTAAAGGCCATATCTCCAAGGTGAGAACTCTGAAATTGGTTTATCTTTTGTATTTGCGGTACATACTGACATATTGAATAGTTACATTGATAGCTTTACAAATGTCCCACAATGTTTCGACGGAGAGCAGCCATCGGCCCGGTCCTATTATTCTAAAGGCCATATCTCCAAGGTGAGAACTCTGAAATTGGTTTATCTTTTGTATTTGTGGTACATACTGACATTGAATAGTTACATGATAGCTTTACAAATGCCGCTTACTCGCTACTCGCCAATTCAATCGTTTTCTTCCTCTTTGGGTTCCGTCTTGGCCTTGGCCTTCTCTGGCCTCTCATACAAGTCCTCCGAGTCTGAATCTTCTTCCTCTTTGGGTTCCATTTCAGCCTTGGCCTTCTCTGGCCTCTCGTACAAGTCCTCCGAGTCTGAATCTTCTTGCAGCCTCTGATTCCTCAGTTGTTGGATCTCGACTTTAGCTGACTCCATGGCAGCAATGCGCATGGCCCTCACCACCTTCTGCGTGTCTTTGTAGCTACTCACATTTTTGTAGATGTCTTGAATAACGGTGGGCTGAAAGCCCAAGCGGGTCGCAAAGGAGTTGATCTGGTCGTCGAATCCGACTTGCATGAAGCGCGCAATGTCTGCGGGATGAATCTGGATGTCTGGCCGAACTCTGACAGTGTCGTAGCTGCCGGTGAACACATCAAGCACTTTCTCTGTGTTTGTATGTGTGCTAGTATGTGTGTTAGCTCTCCCTGCAGTAGACTTGCAGGAGGGAATATGGATGTGTGGGGCCATTGAGTATTGAACTACTGTGTAACTAGTAATTAGTATTTCCCTGAATTTACGCGATCGGTGTGCACTCCAATAACGATGTGGTGAATTTGGAATTTCAACCCACCAATCAGAAGTTCAAACAATATTCGTTCAATGGCAGTAGCTCGCGTGCAGAAAATATATGTATAGCAGGGATCACGTCAAGACGCTATAGCATGGTAGTTGTCAAAGGTCAAAGAGGACTCAGAACCCCCTAAAACATGTCTGTGGCTCCACCTCCACCAGTACTACACATGTCAGTATTCGAGCCTAAAGTAGTCCTCAACCTCCTCAAAAACTCGGCGGCCGTCTTGCCTATCGATAAAAATGCCTTTGAGGAAAGCTGGACTGTAAACATAAGTTTTTCTTTTGGCCGTCAGAGACGTCGTCATTGACTCGTCAAATGACGGATTAAACACAGGTTGAAAAACGAGTCAGCATATGGAAAGAGTCCCATAACCATAAGAACCACCTATGTCCAGAGTTTCAGTTGAGGTGGGAGGCCGAGGTCATCGAATACGTGCAGTGCCTATGGGAGAAGAGTCGGCCTCGCTCAAAGAAAATTGAGCCTACACATAAGTTAGGCCTCAATATCCCATTGCTCGGGCCTCGATTCGTGCCCCCGTCTTACATACATATTCAAAAGCACTCGGGACTCGGACATCAAGACATCGAGCCAGTAACACAGTACATCAAACCCTTCAATGTCATTCACCCGTTCTACTACCCACAACTTGCCACCTGTCCTCGATGCGGCTCTGACAAGGAGACCACCTGGGAAGGGTGGACAAGCACAGGGCCGTGCGAACTCCACGGTCTTATCTGCGAAGAGACAGCACTCGGCGCCCAACTCCGATGCAATACATGCAAGGAATCAACAAAGATGAAGAAGGCAACCGACAAAAACATACCTGGAGATGTCGAAGATGTCCAAGTGCATCAACCAGCCAACTTGGAGGGCTACTGTTTTGCAATGACGAGCGCTGCATACTGGAGTTCATGGGAGCACTGGCGGATTCCTCGTGAGTTTCGTGCATTAGATGTCTGGAGCATCCACTCACCAAACAAACAGGCAACATCCCAATCTTTTTCTATCGCTGTGCCCTAACACGTGATCTCTTCGATTTGCTGGTGGAGATGCGCCCATCAACAACCTCTGCAGGGCTGGAAGAAAGAGTCAGATGTGAGTGCATGCAGTAGAAAGACACTCTTACCGTATTCGGTGTGCCGCAAAGAGCTCCACCTGTTGGAACACAAGCGGCGAATGCTTGAATACCTTGAAGTATTTCAGATACAGCCCACCTGCAATGCAAATAGCAGACTTACCGACTATTTCTCTGGTAGTAAGAGCGCTGTGAAGACACTCCAGGCATTCTCAAGCGCCAGCGACCCGCTTGCATATGCTGACAAATCGATTTCGGGTGAGATTATCACAGAAGTCTTCCTAGACTTCTGCGCACGCACAAGGCAAAAGGAGAGTGGAGCATACCTGAAGACTTTATCAGGTTAGTTTACAGAAAGACTCGTTGACCTGCACCAAACCGGTTCGGTGCATGGATGACTAATGCTCTCTCACGAGCCCGATACCCTAGAAATCATTATGAACAATCTTCCTTTACTTTATGGTTCAGACTGCAGTTCAGATAGTATTTTCATTTCTCAGACAGACTCAGATAGGCTGAATATTCTTGTATATTTAATTTTGCGGTAAATTCTGCTTAGTCAGCAATAACAATGACTCAGACTGAATCCCACACATGTCAAGTAACAGTGTAAAATAGTTCTTGCATAATTTGCCTTGTGGGAACTTTCTTAACACTCTAAATACACGGCTCGCGTCATTTCTACGGTCAATAAAGTAACATTATAACAAGACACCAACAAATAACATAATCAGTCTGTTACTTAATATTTGTCACATGATACTAAGTTATATGACTCTAACAGTCAGGTGACCTATGACCCTAAACCAAATCATGACAAAGCAACCTTTTTGAGATGACTAAAGCTTGATGACACAAATTATAAAGCACATGACTACAGTAAATAGTATTGGTACAATCTGACTAAGCCTATTCCCCTTAGAACGTGGGAAATAGTAACACAGCCACCATAATTTATCTATATAAGACCCCACTTTTTGCCAATAAAAAAGATATATAGGGAACTTTTAAGCCCCACAAAATAAATTTGAGTGTGAAGTGTGATCAGTATCAACAACAGTGACAAGAGCTGTTAAGCAACTAACTGAGAGGTCATTGTAAGCAACATCCAGCAATACCTTTAGCTCATCGTCAACAACTGTGAAATATCTTGAGCTCACTGTGCTCAACAGTGAGCAAACTTTTTCTTTGATTTTCTACTGGTGAACCTCTAGTCTCTTTCTTTTCTTTTCTTTTCTTTTCTTTTCTGTCTTCTTTCTCTCTTTCTTTTTCTGTTTCTTTGTTTGTTTGTTTCTTTTCATTTGTCTCTTTTTCTGTTCAGTTCATTCACGTCTCAGTGTTATTGTCTGAATTTGTTTCAAGATCTTTGTGTTGTCTTTACGTCCATCTAAGCACCGGCTTAGTGGGAAGACTTCAGAAGTTGATAGTGACGCTTGACCTCACTCATCTGAGTAGTGATACTGAGCCAGGGTTTTCTTTGTCTGCTAGACTTTAGTTGTTGAATAGGGGACTTGGTACTGAAATCCAAGGACGTCCGTTCCTGATTCTGTTTAATACTCATCGTGAGTTCCTTGGCAGCAGGTTCAATAGTGAACTAAGAGTTCTACTGATCACTGATTAGTCCTGACCTTTGATTCTACCTGTTTGTGCTGAGGGGGTGATTGCTATAATTTCGCACAACTTTCTGTAGTAAATTTATTACAAGAAGCATTGTTACTGAAGGAAGGGTTTCCCTTATCAATCTATTTCTTTTTTCAGTACCATACTGTTGGGCTGACTTTTCTCTGTTCTCTAAACACTGCCATACCATTGGAGTGAATCAATTTCTTTTTGTCATCACCATACCGTTGGGCTGACTACATTCTGTTTATTTTATTTTCTATTGCGTCCATACTGTTGGATTGACTGGTATTGCTACTGACCTCACAGGAAGTATTTTTGTCTGAACATAGCTTGGGGAAGTGTAAACAGCCACCCACGAACAACCACGTTATCAGTCATTGGTATTTGTCTGAATCACTGACCGTGGAGATTTTTGATTTTGTAGGTGTTTATCTATAGATCATCTATCTAAGAAGACACGCACTCAAATCTTTCTGGGTTTAGCGCGTTGCATGGGGGGTGGGGGGTCGTTATCATAATGGCCCCATAGTTTCAATAGCTGCTCCGCTTGGGCAGCCAGAGGAGTATCCATGGACCTCGTTGGGCGAGGCTCTTCCCGCCTCCATCTTCCCCATGTGTGGGGGTGCTCTCCCCGTAGTTCATTAACCTTTCGTGCATACCATTCTGCCAGGCAGAACTTCGGGTCCAGCAACTTACGGGTGGGCACCGTTACTTCATGCTCCCATCTATTTTCTTTATCCATGATGACATGTTCTTTTTCAGACACGCTATAGATGAAGAACCTCTCGGTATCAGCGGGCAGCCATGGCCTCCGTTCCCAAAGGTAAAATCCCCCTTCTAGTACGTATTTGGCTCGCATCGCCAATGGTTCGCCCATGGCATTGATCTTCGTGCCTCTAGAGGCCCAGTCTTCCTTCCCCGCGGGTCCATCATGCAAGGCGGTTGGCCTGCGTCCACATGGCAGGGGTATTGCTGGCTCCTCCGAGTCGCTAACCCAATCCAATTCGTCCCCGGAGTCAAAGTCTCATGCCAGAAGTCCATTGCAGCGCATGACAGATCTGTGGCCCCGTTGGAGGTCACGTTCTCATTCTGGTGAGTTACTCTATCCGCTTCGCTTAGGTCCACCTGTATGCTAAAGTTTTGCACGCCAGGGGGAGCATTGTTGGCCCCGGACCGCTTGACAGTGGTACGGTCTGGGCAGTTTCTAGAGATGTGCCCTGGCTGATGGCACACATACACAGCCCCTCCGCCGCATGTCTTTCTTTCTCGGCCTGACTCAGATGGTCAGGTTTTCTCTCTGGAGGTGAGCTTTTTCCTGGTCCGTTATTCCTCCTCTGACCTCGATTCTGTCCGTTTTCGACAGCGCCGTTTCTCCTCCGGGACCCTCCATCAGTTTTATGCGAGTTTCAGTTCTCTTTGTCCCTGTTTCGCTGCCGTCCTTCTTCCCGGCGATTGGTGTTATTGCCACCTCCATTCATTCCTCCGGCACTTGGGGAAGGCTTTCCTGTGGTCTTGCCGGTGGGTAGGCACCGAGTGAGCTATTTCTATTATTTCTGCCGTGTTTCTAACTTCGTGAAAACTCGACAACTCAGGGTTTAATTCCTTTTTCCAGAGTTTGGCCTGGATGCTGGGGTTTAGCCCAGTCCAGAATCGAGAGACCTTCTGCCGGTCTTCCACATCCCCAATCATGTTCCAGAGTTCACTCAGCTCATAGATACTCTCGCACTGTCTTCTAGTTCTGGTAACATTTATTCAATTTGGCTCTTTGCTCCATTCTAAAGTTTACAGGAAACAATAATTGAAGAGCTCGGTAAAGAAGTCTCTGAGCCTCCAACGGTATGGGTCCCCAGACACTTCCCTTACATAGAACTCACACGCTCTTCCCTTCAGGTAATGGGCCAGGATGAAGACACGCCGTTTGCGTTCGACTTGCCCATCCTTGACGTATGCTGTTCCTTCAGTGAGGAACTGGTGGTAGGCTCTTCAGTCAGGTGAGCCGTCATAGTTGACCGGTGGAATTGGTTTAAGTGTGTTCTTTTTCTTAGACTGGTTTCGACGCTTCCTGGCTCTACGTCGTCGGGAGGTGCTTCCTCCACTCGAGCTAGACTCGAGCCGTCGAGACGTGCTGGAGGACTCGTCCGAAGAACTGGGGCTGAAGTCGCTTGAGTCCTCGTCATCTGGGTCCCTCCGACCTTTCTTGATACATTTTCCCTTTTTGTCTTTGTTTCATCTGGATGACTTATCCAGACGTCCTAAGGCTTGGCCAATGTAGCTTTTCGGCGCCACCTGCCTGACCGGATCCATGCCTTCTCCCTTTCCCTTGGGTCCGATCTATCTAGCGCCTGGTCGACTAGAGCTCCCACTGGATCTCTGTTTCGACCAGAGGTTCTTATTTTACCTCTTTTCTTTTTCGGCGAGATGTCCAACGTCTCTTGGTCACTCTCGGTTGCTCGCAGGTAGTGAGTTCATTTGTTCCTTATTCTTGGAGGCGCGCCTCTAACGTTTCTGAACTCTTTCTTCTGCAGCTCTGACTGCCGTCTCGGCCTCTGCCCTAGAGACCATGGCATCATCCAGGATCTCGCGCTGCTCCCGGTGGTGGGTTTCCTT